CCTCAGATCCAATGGTCTGTTCTGCCAGCCACAGCGACCGGGTGTACGTACACCCCAACCAGAAACGCAGCTCATCACGAATTATTAGCGATTATTTTTTAATTTTAATTTATTTTTACTTGAAAAAACAGAATTTCAGTGTTAAATTTAATTTAAATAAGCAGAAAAAGCAGATTTAGGGGTCGGGCTTGCGGCTGCGTTTCAGCCTCCACCGGCCTTGGGGGACCGCCGACGCCGTGCAGTGTCTGTGCATCTTCTGTTGTTTCTTTTGTGGTAATTCAAAACTTTACATTAAAAATATTCGTTTTTATGTATTTTATGAACGAAATCACCGTCGATAGCGCGGAGAGAGGAACTGCTGCACCGCACGAGGTGTGCATACACCCCATCCCGATCCTCTTTGGTTTGGATCGAGCGGCTGTTGTTGTTTCTTCCCAGCGATGACTGAAACTTGAATTTATTTTTCGTTTCTTTTTCTTTTTTTACATTTTTAAATGCCTACGAAATGAAACATTTATCTCTTACGGGGCGTCTGTTGCCTCGCGTTGCTGCGTGTGTTGCGGTGTATCTCTTTTGCCTGTATCCTTCATTTCTGTTCTCTGCTGCTGATGCCGTGCCAGCAGCAGACAGCAGCAAGAGCAACAAAGACGATGAGGTTACTGGTGATGATGCAGCTCTTCCCCCTTTTACTGGGGGCTTGTTTGAATACCGCCGCATCGGGGCTGAGCTCGTCAGCCTATGGAGAGAATACACCGCAATGAGTGACGCATTAAGCCACTTGCTGCGGGACTACAACGTGGCTGTGAAGCAGGAGCAGCGGGTAGAGTTGGTGGGTATGTTACAGAGGAAACACAAAGCAGCAGAAGCAGCACTGCAGCAGCAGCAGCAGCGGCGTCAGCGGGGTCGGCGTGGTGGTGCTGCTGCTATGCTGCCGTTACTGTATGGAGAGTTGGCGAGTTTGAAGGAGTTGAAGAAACAGATGAAAAGAATAGATAAAAAACTAGAAAAAATACCAGAATATAGACAAGCAGAAGAGAACGCAATGCAGATTCGTTTCGGTTCTACCCCTGTCAGTGTAGCGAGGGCCCTAGCCCGCCCCTCCTCTTCTCTTTTTCACAAAACCCTCAGCTCTTACCAAACACACTTACATTCATTTCAACATAAATTTGAGGCTTTATGGGCCGCGATAGAACACATAAAGTTCTCCCCTCATGCAGCCGCCAGCCACAAAACAGCGAAACTCGACAATTTCTTTGATCCAGACGCCCCAAACCCGCTTAAAATACAAAATAATAAATAATTATTTTTTATTTTTTTATTTTTTATTATTTATTATTTAA